CCCTGAGCCACCTTAGTTATCCGGAATTTGTGCCTAACTGGCGCCGGATAACACGGCTTTTACTGTAATATGACTCAGAAACTTTCTGGCCAGAATTTAGGTGAAGCAGCAGTGAATATAGGCTGTTTAAACTTGGCCTGCACACCAGTTAGATTAAGTATCATGTTGTTGTGCACTGCATTAATCACAACTTTAGTCTTGTAGTTCTGAATATCCTTGTCTTTTAAAAGTTTGAATTTATTCTATTATGTTTGCCAATGCCTTTTGGGAGTTAATCTCAAGCTTTTGCTGCTGCTAACTGTGAGCTACTTCAGCAGTATCTTCCTGGCACTCTAGGTTTCTATGGTGGAATCATAGAAATATAGGGGTGAAGGATTTTGAGAGTTTTTCTAGTTCAGTCCCCTGCGCTGAGGCAAATCCAAGCATACCTAGACCATCCCTGACTGGCATTTGTTTGACCTCTTCTTAAAAACTTTCAATGATGGGGATTCCATAGTCTTTCTTGGAAGCCCATTCCAGTGCTTAACTACCTTATCATTAGAAAGTTTTTCCTACTATCTAACCTAAATCTTCCTTGCTGCAGATTAAGCCCATTACTTATTTTCCTAAGTGAACATGGAGAGCTATTGATCAGTGTCCTCTTTATAACAGCCTTTAACACACTTGAAGACTGTTGTCAGGTCCCCTTTCAGTCTTCTTTTCTCAAGACTTAACATGCCCAGATTTTTTAACCTTTCCTCATAGGTCATGTTTTTATCATTTTGGTTGCTCTCCAATTTGTCCAGTTTCTTAAAGTGTGGCCCCAAAACTGGATACAGTACTCCAGTTGAGGCCTCACCAGTACTGAGAAGAGCAGGACAATTACCTCTCCTGTCTTGCATACTGCAGTTGTGTTTATACACCCCAGAATGATATTAGCCTTTTTTGAAGCTTCATCACATTGTTGACTCTCATTCATTTTGTGATCTGCTATAACTCCTAGATCCTTTTCAGCAGTACTACTGCACAGCCAGTTATTCCCCATTTTGTAGTTGTGCAAGTGATTTTCTTCCTTAGTGAAGTACTTTGAACTTGCCTTTATTGAATTTCATCTTGTTGATTTCAGACCAGTTCTCCATTTTGTCAAGTTCATTTTGATTTCTCATCCTGTCCTCCACAGTGCTAGCATACTATCCACCACAATATCCAAGACATAAATGAAAATATTGAATAGTATCGGAGCCAGGACAAAGCCCTGCAGGACCACACTAGATACGTCCTCACGGTTTGACAGTGAACCATCAATAACTACTTTTTGTGTATGTTTTTTTAATCAGTTATGCATCCATTCTTATAGTAATTTCATATGGACCTCATCTCCCTATGAGAATGTGATGTGGGACTGTGTCAAAAGCCTTACTAAAACAAACTTCCCACCTATCCACTGGGCCAGTAATGCTGTTACAGAAAGACATTAGATTGGTTTAGCATGATTTGTTATTGTCAAATCCATGTGGTCTCTGTGACATTACCCAGGGTATAATCTGGACTATTGAACAGCTGTGTCACCTCAATTCTCCAACCTGGGATGCCTTTTACACTGCTTCACTGTGAGAGCTACTACTGCTGGTCTGCTCACACCCAGCCTCAAGCATGTAAATCACTCTCAGTTAGATTGTATGAATTTATAGCCAGGCACCCATGAATTACACTACAGAGCAACACCCATCGAATTCCGAGTCCCAGACTTTCCGCCAGTAATGTGCGTCTTGTATTGCCCAGCTCTCTACTGGATAATACAAGCTCATATAAAGTCTGTCATTTTATTATTAGAAAATGATATGCACAAATCCTGTTATCCCAAAATGGCATTTCCTAAACACTTGAATCCAAACATACTGGTTTAGATCAGACAATAACACAAATTTATCAACTACAAAAGATAGATTTTAAGTGACTAAAAGTAATGAGGCAAAAAAGTCAGAACTGGTTATAAGAAAATAAAAGTAAAATACAACTATTGCCTAACTTAACAAGCTAAGTGAATTCAAAGCAAAGGTCTCTCTCACCACATGCTTCAGTAATCTTACTGGCTGAATTACTTTCAGTCATGGGTCTGCCCCCAGTCCAAAAGTTGTTTCTTTTATTCTTCAGGTGTTGTGGATGCCTTAGGTAGAGAGAAAGAGAGGAGTAATTTGGGGCGTTTGGCTCTCCCTTCTTATAGTTCTTTCTTCAAGAATCATCTCTAGCTGAGGTTCAGGAGACAGAACGTCTGTGTAGACAGGAATCCCAAGCTGTTTCTTTGTCAAGATGTAGAATTTTTTTTTTGTCCACATCCTCTTTCCTGGATTGATTTTGTTAACACCTGGCTGAGGTGTCGGCTAGCCTTTTTTTTCTGAGGAACTGCTTTGTTACTGCTCTCCAGACTTGGAACGTGTCTTAGTAATATCCAACAATAGAATTTTATATCTTTACATACAATATAGGCCCACCTATTTTACCAGGATAATAATGATCAGCAAATGATGAGTTTTCAGATGATACCTCACAAAGCATATTTTGTTACAAGCTTTATCATAATCCTATAAAAGGGGTGAACACGGGATACAGACTGTTACTTATAATCCTTTAGGTGCTTACAAACTGATTTTTCAGTAGTTTGTTCCAGTATCTTTCTAGGTATCAAAGTCAGTCTGACTAGTCTATAATTTCATGGGTCCTCTTTGTTCCCCTTTTTAAAGGTAGGTACAAGGTTTGCCCTTCTTCAGTTCTCTGGGACTTAACCTGTTCTTCATGAGTTCTCAAAGATAATTGGTAACAGTTCCGATATTACTACAGCTAGTTTCTTAAGTACTCTAGGGTGAAATTCATCAGGCCCTGCTGACTTGAATGTATCTAACTTATCCAAATATTCTTTAGCCTGTCTTTCACTATTTTGGCTTCCGTTCCTACCCCCACTACCACCACCCCTTGTTGTTAATATTAATTGTGTTAAGTATCTGGTCACAAATAACCTTTTTAAGGAAGACTGAAGCAAAATAGGTATTAAACACCTCAGCCTTCTTGATGTTGTCCATTATTAGCTCTCTTTTCTTGCTAAGGAGAGAACCTACCCTTTTCTTCACCTTTCTCTTGCTCTTAATGTATTTAAAGACCCCCATCTTATTTGTCCTTTTTACATCTTTGCTAGATGTAACTCATTTTGTGTTTTAGCCTTTCTGATTTGTCCCTAAGGGTTTGTGCTATTCTTTTGTACTCATCCTTAGCAATTTAGCTGTGTTTCCACATTTTGTAGGATGTCTATGTCATTAAAGAGCTCCTGATGGAGCTGTATTGGCCTCTTACTATTGTGCCTATCTGTAAGGAGATCAAGACATGCATATTTGTGGGCATTATGTATTTCATGGTGGACTTAATCAGCATTTTGACTCAAACCTCTTTTTTATGGTGAGAATCTTTTGTTGTTTGTGGCTTTACGAAAGCTAAAATGTTTTATGCTGGAACTCACAGTGGTGAACGATCATCCTGGCTTTTATATTTGAAAGGGGAAAAATGTCTAGGTCTTCAAAGGCAAAACAGCAGAAAAATCAGATCTGTATGCTTCAAGCTGCCATTGAACATAGGAATGCAGATTCACAAGGCTACAGTTGGCACCATTCACTATTAGCACACCATGACCATGTACAAATGGTAATGGTAACTGAGTTAGAGTGAGAAAAAGAAGAGTGCTCTGAATCAATGGTTGCTTCTAAAATTACACTTAAATCCGTGAAATTCATATCAAATGGCTGTGCACACACACATTTTTAACAAACTACTGAACAGCAAAATCTGGTAGGGTTAGGTGAGGCCTAGAGTAGTGTTCTATATGATCAAGTCTACGTATCAAACCAGAGAATCAAAATCCATTATATTATCTGTGTGTCAGACTTTTTACTTCAATTGAAAACCTAGTCTCAGTTCTGATTTTCTCAAACTGGTACTGGTAATGGCATTTTAAAATGTTTTAAAATTAGCACAGTACTAAACATATAAGACTAACCAAGAGCCAGACCCATTAACAAGAGAATAAAAATGAGAAACCCTGTCACAATAGCTCAAAACAGAACAAACAGAATGCAGAAAAGTTTTTTCAGACAATCAGAGCAGTAACAAAATTTCATTTTCATTTACTTGAGAGAATGAGACCACAGCCTGAAAATTGGGTCAATCATGTTTTCTCATTGGACAACCAAACTTGAAGTCTTAGATTCCTACAAACAGGTGATTAAAAAAAATTAATCCAGATGTGTACATTATATAATCCTAAATTCTAATCTTGGTTGTGTGATGGTATTTGCATTGTAAACCTAGTATGCATGTATGCACAAATGGAGTGGCAGATCTCTTGAGAAGTACGCAACCATCTAAGATTTCTTAGATCTTTACTAACTAAAATTTGGTTGCACTGTGTTGTATAAAACAGGGGAGACCCAGCAGAGTTTACATTCTAAAATTAGGCAGACAGGATATTTCAGTCACATGAATGCCAGATGAAAGTCCAATCTCAAAGCGATACAAATTGTGACTGACACTCTTTATATTATAACACTAAACATTTTTCTTTTAAATTGGTTTTAGTGCTGCCAAACGTTTGACAGCACTCAGGACTAAATCATATTTAATTGCAGAACAGGTGCAGCACAAGGTACTGTTCCTTGCCAGTGTGTCTGAATCCTCCTTTAGTTGGGCCAGCTGTACGAGTGAGAAGGCCATTCAGTCATTGGTCTTTCTGCTGAGGCAGCCAATGAGTGTGCCAATAAGTACAGATTGTGTTTTTGTAATTATTGTTGGTGTTCTTAAAGTAGACATTTTCTATTAGGAACTGGACTGAAACCACCAAACTCACTTCACTTAGATAACCCAGCCACCATCTAATCACTATTTTCAGTCACTATCTGGAGTAGATTTGACTTGGTGACCAAGAGATAAAAAGGTTCATATCATCAACCAAAAAGGGTTTTAAAGATGTTTTCTTTCTCATTCATAGCTTTTTCATAGAACTTAACGGCTCCAGGTACCTGTCTGTCCCCATTAACCCTGCCAAGGATGTATGTGAAAGCAGCTATTTCCTCCCAAAATCATAGTAAATAATATTAGCCAGTTTGAATGGGGATCCCACGGCCTTTAGCTCATTCCTTATCTTCTTCCCTGTACAGTTCATCTCAGTTCTCCAGGCCTCAGCTCTTGCCACAGTAATGAGACTCCTCCCGAAGGTGGGAGGACAGATTGGCTATCCATGATTGCAGTGCCAGTCCTTATCACTTTCTGAGAGGAAGTGCAAATATGGAATATCACCTGTATTTTCCTGCACAGAAACTGATAGCATGTCTCTCATTCTCCTCTTGCCCAGGATTGTTTGGGTCACTCTGTCATGCCACATGCATAGTGTTACTCTCCATGACGAAACTGGGTTGGCGTATACTGCTGACAGCTTATTTCAATTTAAACCTTGAAGGATTCCATTTCAGTTGCAATAGAATGGTCTTAGTTTAGAGAAATTGCCAGTGGCTCTTACTTTAAGGCAGTTAGATTTCATTTAAACTCAATTCATTATTTTTTACTGTTATTGATATTGCAGGCTTGGACTTAAAGATCACCAAGAGAGAGAGATAGTTCATGTTCTCATTGACTGTTGCCTACAGGAGAAGACATATAACCCCTTCTATGCATATTTGGCTAACAAGTTTTGTGAATACGATAGAAGATTTCAGGTAAACTAAGATCTGTTCCTACTTTGTTGTGGTACTGTTTAAGTTGAGATTCTTTTGGGATTTCTATTATTAGAGGTTTGTCACTCTGGCTGTACAGATTTATTGCATCATATAATAACACAGAAAAAGTCTCTTGGCCTACACAACTATTATAAATAAATAAAATCTGGTGATTAGCTCATCACTTAAGGAAACTTATTGAGCTACTTCTGTCCAGAAGGTAGTGGTATAGCTAGGAGTGGAAATTTGGGTGGGACCCAACTTGTGGTGGTGGGCAGTGAACAAAGGTCTGACATCACAGCAAATCATTTATATTGTATATTATGATGTTGCATATTTGATTGAGGCCACCCATCCCCCCCATGTCTGGGGGCAAGGCAGGTTGCACTTCTGCCAATGCAGAGGTAGTAACTAGAGTCACTTGGAAGCCCTCCCCTGTAACCGAAGCACATCCCCTGTGTGAGTGACCAACAGGTGGTTGGGCCAATAAGTGGCATTGTGACCTGACACATGGCCTTCTGCTCCCAGTCCTGGGCTTTGCTCCGTTCCCCATCAACACAAGCTCTGTCTCCATCCCACACCACTCAGCTCTGGTTACTTCCTTCCCATTGCCAGAGGTATGCCCTCCACATTGGGGGTGAATGGTTGGCCAGAACCTGATTGGCTGATAGTTTTGGAACTGAGAGCCAATGGGGACCAGTGACTAGATGGTGGGGCAGAATTTGAGCTTGTGTTGATGGGGAAGCAGAGTCGAGCAGAGCAATATGTAAAGCTGCTGCTGCCTCTAAAAGACTGCACCTCTTAGCAATCTGGTTCAATCTTTTTTTAATCAGATTTGGGTGGGACTGGGTGCTAATCGGGTGGGCTTTGGTCCACCTGTGTCTATGCCCCTGCCAGAGGAATAATAGTTCAGTATGTTGCAATGGGTTTTTGGGAAGGATCTAAATTAAGGAAACTGTGTGATGGAAAAGGCAGGTGCAAATATCCTGAAAGAATCCCTTGCATCCAGAATAGACCCCTTGCTGCTTTTCAGTGGTAGGATTGTAAAAACTGAACCATTCAGAGGTGCTTCTCCCTTTCTACTGCAGTTACAAGATTGCTATTATTCTTAAGGAAAAAAACATGAATTGTAACTGTCGCTATAAAGGTCTGTGGGGCCTTTTGGTGTTTTGACGAAGAACATATGAAGAAAATAACACTGTGGTGAATATTTTTGTATATGTTTGCTTTTTTCAACAAAAATATCCTGTTTTATATGTATAAAGTTCCAAAATGTTTGTTTAACCAATAAAATGTAATAGTATTGCAAGAGTTTAGTCCTAGAGATATACTTTAATGCATCAAATGTGACTAGATGAACAAAATATGTAACTGCTGCAGTTTGTATTGCCTTTGTGGACATGGTAGTCAGAAAAAATGGGCCTTAAAATCTTCTACCTAATCCCTAATATATATAAATCAAAGTGAAGGCTCCTATCCTGAGGGACTGGGAGTAAACCCCTGCATCCACACACAGCCCCATTTAAGACAGGGCTTAAGCAGGTATTTGTCCATGGAATTTGTGTAAGTAGGATAAATTATGTATTGCAGCTAGCATGTCTATTTTGGTGTCTTCCAAAACATGTTGCTTGTGGGGTGGAGGAGTTATATATGAGAGATTTGATAGTGTTTTTACAAAAACAAAAAAAATAATAAAATGTATATGTTAAGTGTGCTTCATTTTCAGTAGGCTTTTATGTAAACTGATTAGACCACTTACAGGTTTTTCTTTTGGATTTACATATAGATGTATATTTTAATTCTGTGATTGCTAAACACTACCTGTATCATCTCCAAGCTACAAAGCAACTTCTAATATAAGTTTGCTGCTGCTTTGAGTAGTGTCCCTGCTTGCACTTGAGGTGTGCATATGCCTTCAGTCCAAGATTTTTCAGTAGCAGTGCCCATTCAGCTTACACATTCCACCCTATGGATCTTTATGCCCCATACTTGAAGATATATAGGGCTGTGCAGGTGAACTGCCTTCAATTCATTTTCAGCTGCCTCAGCCTGAGATGGAGCAATTTGTTGTGCCTACCTAAGTGCAGCTTCTACTTTTCTGGTCAATTTTAGATCTCTGGTTACTTTATTTTATTATTCTTTAGTTATTTTACTTTATTTTGTTCCTGTTTTTTTGAGGGGGGCGGTATGCCTCCCCCTCGTCCTCAGCAAGGTCCTTCCTTAGGAATCCTCTCTTTCCTTTGTGGGATATGTCTAGATCCCCAAGCTTCAAAACATTGCCCAACTGGCTGGGAACCCTCCCGAGTGATGGCCATTTGTGCTGTATCCTCTGCCTCAGGGATACACATATACCATCTAAGTGCAAAATTTGCACTAGCTTCAAGAGCTGCTTGAAGAAACACAGAGGAAAAAGCTCCAGCTCCTTTTGACAGAGGGCTGTGTTTGTCCTGCAGCAGATCTGGGCTCAGAACACCTCACTACACACACATGCGCCGTCAGCTTCCGTGGCTTGCTCATTCTCAGGACCGTAAGGGACAGATCTGCAAGTGAATCTGAAAAACCTTCCTCCAAGATGAGTGCCAGGTCTCCTCAGAAAGATCACTCAAAAAGGTTTACCATGCCGGAGACCCTCCACTCTGCAAAAGTGTCTGCAGAGGTCTCAATACTGAGGTATTCTCTATGCCTAAGTCTTTGTCTGCTTCCATTGTCCATGGTACTGAAGCCTTGGTACCACTGAAACTTGGGTGAGAGACTACCAAATCTGTGCACTCTACTAAGAAGGCAGTGCACTCTTCATCTTTCACTGCCTCACTGGTACCTAGATCATCAGCTGAGCAAGTACCAGAACAGTAAGTACAACCCTCAGAACCTTACACCTCTATGACTGGGTCTCACCAAGTCTCCATGTAACTTCACTTGGTACTGCAAGAGTTCAGGTTCACAAATAATCTGCTCATTTCCGAGGAGCATGAGTCTCCTCTGTGGAGTTTAGGATTCTCAGTACCACAACCAGTAATATCTGTGGTACCCCACCTTTTGCCGGTACCAACGTGTTCTGAAAGATGGCCGGTTACTCCTTTGTAGATTCCAAGGCCAGAAGGGACCATTCTGATCATCTATTCTGACCTTTGTATAACACAGGCCAGAGAATATCTCCAAAATAATTTCTAGAGCATTTCTTTTAGAAAAAAACATCCTATCTTGATTTAAAAAATGGTCAGTGATGGAGAATCCACCACAACCTTTGGTAAGTTGTTCCAATAATTAATTACTCTCACTGTTAAAAAGTTACACCTTATGTGCGGTCTGAATGTGTCTAGTTTCAGCTTCCAGCAATTGGATCATGTTATACCTTTCTCAGTTTGATTGAAGAGCCCATTTTATTTGTTCCCCATGTAGACACTTATAGACTGTAATCAAGTCATCCCTTAACCTTCTCTTTGTTAAGCTTAAACTCCTGAAACTCAATCACCATTTGCCCCTCTACCAGGCAATGAAGAGGAGAGTTCTTCAGGCTCCCAGATTTATGTGCAGGGCTCTGCTGACCATCTGCCTATGTTGACTATCTGGAACCTGCACTGTTGAGGGACATTTCCAAACTTCTACCATCAAAGCCTGCCAAACATCCCACTCGTTATAATCAACCCTGCATGCCCCCTCCATTCCTGTATGATCCTCCCAGTGGACATACTGGGATCCTTGGCGGCTTACCAGCAAGAGTTTTCTGAAGTGCTCAGTGCTCATGTAGATCATCCTTTGACAACATTGACCAACTCCTTCTATTCCTCCACAGCAATCTTTAAGGCAGGAGGATACATTCAAGGACCAGGAAAGGATAGCAGATGAGGAGGCTAAGCCACAGTCTAATATTTCTTCTTCCTCTCCAGATGAAGCTGTCATCACTCCCCACCATCTCACATTGATGATTTCAAAGTTTCAGGATCTGATGAAGAGGGTGACAGACACCCTTCAGACCCAATTAGAAGAAGTGCAGGAGACACAGCACCAATTGCTTGACATCGTGCACACACCATCATCAGCATGGGCTGCCCTTCCTATAAATGAAGGACTATTAGAGTCTGCCAAGTTCTTTTGGCAGACTCCTACTACTGCCCTCCTCCCCACCCCCCAGCAAAAAGACCAGATAAAAAGTGTTATGTCCCCACTAGGGGCTCTGAGGTTTTTATTTTCCCACCCCACACCAAATTTTGCATCCATGACTAGAGTAAATGAGCATCATAGACAACATCATTCGAAGCCTACATCCCTTGACAAGGACCACAAGCACTTGGAGCTTTTGGGGATGAAGAGTTACTCTTCTGTTACCCTACAATTCCCAACTGCTAACTGTCAGGAGATTCTGAAAAAATACAGTCACATTAATTATATGAAGTTTAGCTCTTTTATTGAACATCTACCGCAAAAGCACAAAGAACCATTTCAAGCCATCATTGCAGAAGGGCAGTTCTTGGCTAGAACAACCCAGCAAACTTCTCAGGATTCAGCTGATAGGGCAGCTCATTCCATTGCTACAGCTGTAGTCATGTACAGGATGTGACAAAGTGATGCATTTTTGTAATACTATTAAGATTATGATTTGCTGTGCCTCAGTTTCCCGCTATAATTTGCATTGTTACCTAGTGGTTGCAGAAGACTTAAATCTACTCTTGGGGCAGAGCAAGAGACATTAGGTGTTGTGTTCTGTAACTGTCTGGGGTGGCATGCATGGGTTGTTAAAAGGACTGGCTGAAATTGACCCATATCAATGGAGAATTCTGAAAGACAGTGGGAACCCCAGGAGCCAGGACATTCACACCTAGCAACCAATAATCAAGAGGAAGGAGATTCCCCCCCACCTCTCAGCAGGGAAGCAGAGCAAAGGCCCCAGCTCAAGATCAATGGACCGAAAGGTGTCAGGATACTAGAATAAAAGTTGGCTTATGGTAGTGAATCAGCAGCTCTCACCTGGGTCTGATGACAGAAATGGAGAGCCAGAGGCAGAAAATGATTCCATGGCAGCTTGGCTGGGTGGAACACTGGCTTGGCCAAAATGAAGTATGTATTAATCTTTGTTTCTCTATGCCAGTGGTTCTCAACCTATTTATGTGGCCCACAATGTGTTATGTGGACCAGAGGTTGAGAACTCCAGCACCGCCCCCCCCCCCCAAAAAAAAAAAAACCCTCCCACAGC